TAATGCAGTGCGCCTAATGTATGAAAAAAGTCCTAAAATAGGCCATTCATTGAAGGTGCGCCTTATAGTGTGGAAAATATGGTAAATGCTGTTTGATTTTTTACAGACTGTACCTTTTTACTCCCTGAACTTTTTCAAAGAATCAAACTTTGAGAAAAAGTGTAAAAAGCATTAAACTTTTTTACAACCACAATGTTTTATTGGAATATGACAAAGATCAATGCAATGTAACAAATGATTGTGAAGTGGAATAAAATTTATATGTAGTTTTTCAAGGTTTTTGCGAATAAATATTAGAGAATTCTGAATTGCAATTTAATTTAGCAACTTAACTCTAAAATCCCAATGTAAAAAGTCCATCTGTATGTAATCTTAACTCTTAGCCTAATGTGTTAGCTTTGGATCCTATAAATCTGGCAGTTGTGAAGGTTTTAAAAGGAAAGCTATTGTTGAAAGAAAGGCCCAAAGAAGCCAATTTGCAGTTTACTAAAAGGAAAGTAGGGGACGTATGAAACATGTGGTAAAGATTTGCTCTGATTTCAATGAGAACAAAATGTTAAAAGTTAAAGTTGCATTAACACTTTAGGAAAGCACTTTTGCCAATGTGGAACTTGTGGTGTGTGCTTTTAGAGACCTAAAACCCTAGAACTGCCAGTACTTTTCTATGTTCTGTGCCTTTTGAGTAATTTTGTTTTTCTGGTTGTTTTTTTTTTTTATAGCACACTTTCTTTTAATCTAACTTAATATTACAAAAAACTATTGTTCAGTCTGACTTGAGAATGACTAGAAATGTAAGGAAGAATGGTTGATAGATCAAATTGCGCAGGCTACTTCTGCTCAACGTGGCCAATTCGTAATTACCACTAATACTAACATGCATGTTTATGGACCGCGTGTGGTAAGTCGAGTGCGCGGAGACGGCCAAATGTTAACATGCAAAATCCAGAGAGACAGGGATTTAACCTGGTAACCTTTGGTGACCTGTAACCCGAGATGACAGTGCTCACCCTACCAAACCAATCAGCCTCATCGAGAGTTCAGACCCCGAACCAGTTCAAAGAAAAAAAAAAAAAAAAAAAAAAAACCCAAAGGAAAAAAAACACTGTTTGGAATTCAATTTATTTTATTTTATTTGTCTAAGCCATTTGTGTTGGGGGGGCAGGGGGGCAGTACCATCTGGCAGCTCTTTGCAAACACAGTGAAAAACACCAATCATCAAGGATTAAAGATGTGACACAGCGGCATCAAGAGCAGATTAGATTATCACTGTAAAACACTTCATGTCCACGTTAGAATCACAACTCCCAGTATGATCCACTCTTGACAAGACTACTGTTAAAACTTCCTAAGTTAACACAAATTTTGCATACTAAAAAAATTGTTAAAGTAAAATTTTAATAATTCTTGGGAATTTAAAGGAGCCATTTATTCCTAAATCATAATTCCAAATTATCTTTCCAGTTTAAGCACCGGTACAACTTATTTATTCAGTCCTGTTCCTTTTATTGTGAACCTACAAGGTATTAACAAAAGTTTTTAACTAACAATCACAAAGAAGCAAAAAAAATAAATAAATAATGTTCAAACTACAAGTGATAAACAACACTATCTAAAAGTGAAAAAAATAGTTCTCAGTTTCTGTCTTTTGCAAGAAATAAATGCAAAATGAGGCCACACTGAGACATTGTGGCACCACAGTTTTTAACCCATTTGGAGGAATTAACAAAAGCGGAGAATAATACTGAGTACCGGATTAGAGTTGTAGCGAGCTGTGCCATATCCCACCCAGTCACCCGGGGAACTAAACAATTCTGAGAAGAAATAACTCTGTCCTGCCTCAACAGTCTGTATTATGATAAGCTGCTTGAACACCATTGTCTCACATCACTTTCATGTCGGGGGGGGGAGATCTACCAGAAGGATTGATCTTGTAGAGGGCTTTTGCCAGGACTGTTCATTTTTCCCCTATTTATTTACCTTTTGAGAAGTGTGTTTGAAGCTCTTGGTTAGAAAAGACAAAGAGAAATAGTCTGAGGTAGACTGGGAGATTGCCATTATGCTTTAGAGAAATTTATAGAGAATAAAAGGCTGATAATTGCTAGATGAGAATAATAGAGTAAATCTTGCAGAAAAGATACGCAGCCAAGAATATGGTTAGCATTTAAAACATGTTTGAATATTTTTTTTATTATGATTAAAATGATAAAATGTAATGATTTTTTTTTACAGTACAGTAACCTTTTATTCAAAACATGCCATTACTGCGTAGATCAGCCGTCTGATACTCCAGTCCTAGAGTGCCGCTATCCTCCAACCGCAAACACTGAACTAAATGACTGAAATTTTCTCCTTGGCAAGCCAGCATGTTTTGCAAAGGCCTGATTATTAACCAGTCATTTAGTGGAGTTGGAGCGTTGATGCATCCAAAGTTGCAGGACAGCGGGACTGGAGAATATAATGTTTCTGAAGATGGTTTTTACTATCGGACACAAAGGCAAGATCTGCATTTCAACAGACCAAGGGGCAGATCTGTAAGGAGCTGTTTGTTTTGCAGCAACAGGGCATCCACAAATTAGAACAACTTTATCCATCATAAGCTTTGTCTTACTAAGATCAAATGGGTTTGGAAGCCCAACTCAAAACTTTACATTCATTACACTCACATTTCATCAGGCAGTTCTTAGAAATGTTCTTATTGTAGTAGGGTACAACTGTAAGAGGCCAGAGGATTTTCCCTTCGCTGTTTCGGACCACGTGGCTTCACTGCCTCTCTAATAAAAGAAACTATGATGACGTCTAATCCTCATGGTGATTATTCCAATGCATCCTTTAATCCGCATTGAAAAAGCAGTAAAATAAATGTCCCAGATTACCTTCTTAGATAAATATAATGGTCTGTTTTAATGTGTACATGCAACTTATGAGTCATTTTAAGAGAGAGGTTGATGTTAACGCACTATGACTTCAGGTAGCCACAGAATGAATCCAGTCAATAGCTCAATAAAACCTGTGCAGGATTCCAAAAAGTACTCCTAGTATGAACTGACACAGCATGCAGAGTGTTCTCTCTTATCTGGGAAGTCAAAGGTCTCTGAACCAAGCCAAACTCAATTTGCTGCTTTATGCAAATCATGCTTGAAGCTGCAGCAATAAACTTATTTGTTTGCACTTCTGATAGTTTGTGCCACGTGTAAGCAAAGCCACACATAGTATTGAAGAACGTACAGTCGGTGAATGGACCTCTGACCCACTTGTTGTGGCAGTTCATGTAAATTCGGTATCGATATGTTCACTTTATTGAAGTGAATTGACAACTTTTGATAAGTTGACAAGCATTGGTCAGAGTAAGCCTAGTCCATATTTTATTGTGTTTTTTTTAATTTTTTTTATGCTTAATAGGCCCATGATGGATTAACGATTTCAAGGAACTGAGCTACTGAGAAATGGTTCGTGTAGAGAATTATTACAAATGCAGACTTAGAAAGCACAGATGGCCCGTGATCCTTACAACTGCAAAATGATACATAAGTTGGGTATTAATACCGCGCTATGATCAGAAAGGAGCTGGTGTTTACTGCTGTGGAAATCAAAGCTATTGAGGCTAAGTGAACACAGGCACCGGTTTAGCAATAGGACTGGTGTGGAGGAAAATCCCAGTAAGACGTAAAGCGCAAATGGCAACGTGAAGTAAAAGCACTAATTATTCTTTATCAGATGGTTTTGTCACTGCTTCAGTGGATTACATTAAAGTTGAACCAGAATGCATTTGACTTGAGTGCCACATGTAGCAGAGCAGGGCTCTCTTCGGCTTGTTGTTGTCCTTCAGGCTCCAACTGCGTTTTGTGCATGGCCTCCAAATGTCGAGAAATAACAAGACCACAATTTTTCCAATAGATTCTAAAAGCTATTAAAGTGTGAATCGTGTCTAAGTGCTCCTACATCAAAATGTACACTTAGGTAGACGAGTAGATCTTAAATTCAGTCACTCCTCTGGATTCTCTCATCAAGCAAATCTCAAACGTAAACGTCTCACCTGCTGTACAGGTTTTAGGTGGTTTTTAAGGACTGAACCTTGAAAGGATAATTACTCGTCAACCGGCCAACAAATGTTATTTTGATGATGACACACCGAAAACTCTGATGGCAAGTTTTTGATGTTTTTTTGTTTTGGTTTTTTTTTTTTCAAAAGAGTGAGAGCTCAAAAGCGAAACATTACTGAGTAAAATAGGATTTTTTTTAAATAAAGATTGTATCTTTGTTAAGAAATGAAATTTAAAATTACAATTGCATCCCACTTATCTCTATTTTTCCCCCAGAAGAATATATTGTAAAGTTGCTGTAATTAGGTTATTCACTTAAAAATGTAGATGTATAGCTACTAGACAAGCATGTGACTCCACAACAACACTTAAATCAGCACACCGAACATGCTGGTTGAAGAGCAACAACCCTAGCGTTCTGAAAGATAAATCAGCACATGTACCTTCAGACTGGTGCATGGAGAGCCACTGGGTTTGCTGTTCGTCTCGTCACTTCGTCCGTTCTCCTGCACACAGTCTTCCTCGCTTCTGTCCTCCATTCTCCAGATATGTCTTTGTGTCTCCTTAGCAGAGGTCTCTCGCTCGATGCAGATTCTTGGTATTGAGGCATGCAACCCTGCAAATGGATAATTCAAGCATGTGACCCACTTCTCACAGCAAAGGGAAAAAAAAATAAATAAATAAATAAAAGCAGGCAGTACAGAGGAAAACTGACACACAAACTGAAAAAAAAAACTGCCAGTGTTTTGTCCTGAATATCTTCAGGCTTCAGTCACAAGTAAAAAGTCAGCGTTGTATTCAGCCTGAAGGACGTGTATGTGCTTTCAGAACAAAAGCTTTTTGTTTCAGGTTAACTATTTTAAGCTACAATATCAAACACCGTGAGCTGAACATTCCAGCCAATCAAACTCTGTACCTACTTGTATTGTTCAGAGCAGTAACTGAGATCATGAGACCACATATAATGAATCTTAAACCAGGACTGTGAAGTCTGGTAAAACCATAATCTTCAGCCTAAGAGCCTTAGTGCAGTGAAGCCAAATATAAACAACGTCAGAGGGGATTTCATTTACTTTTGAGATTGACAAGGTGAATATCTGTCACTTTAATTCCTGGTTCTTGACCTTCAAGTGTGGGAAAGATTGGAGAAAAATTTTGGAATTAAAATAAACTGAAATCTATTTCTGTTAAAACTACACTCACCAGGTGTTATGTCATGTACACTGGCTCAGCTGCTTGTGGATACAAATCAGCCAATATCAAGGCAGTAGCAACTGACTTAGCCATAGCAAAGCTGTCTCTCAGAAGTTTGACTACTTAAGCATTTGGGGTTGCCATGTCCTGGATGACTGGGAATTTACACCAACATATAAACCTAGAAAGCAGAGAACTATTAGCGTCTCAGACTCGTACATCAAAAGCAGCTGAATTAGACTTGTCATAAGTAAGCTGAACTTTGTGCTGGCTAAATCAGCTTACCAACATGCTACCAACAACTAAACACATTCCCTCACTGGATATTAACTTCTTACTTTTTAATGTCATAGAAAGCTCAGAAAAGCTGAACTGGATTGAATATGAAATGGACAAAATATACAAGGTTTAAGTGTACTATGTGCCTTTTTGGTCTACAAACATAATAACAGAATATTTAGAAGTGTGGGTTTGGCCCAGTTATTTCTGTCAGACTGTCTGAAAACACACGTGCACCAGGGAATTGTGACATGCCAATGCTGCGCTTCAGAGTCACAGGAAAGCATCATTGTGTCACCCTAAATAAAGCTTCACTGACATCAACGTCAATGTCAGCGACATTTACGTGGATGAAAGCCGGAGAAAAGATGGCAAGAACAAATAGAAATCATCCAGAAACTTTATCACAACTAATAGTTGACATGGATTTTCAGACATTATTATGAGCTGAAAAAAGTAAGTATGGGGAATGTAGCTTAAATAAGGATTGATAGAAACAACAACATTTAAAGACAAATAATCTGGTTAAACGTTAATCCTAACCTCAAGTGTCAAAATTGAAGCTGATTTGTCAGGAATTTTCATTTTTCTAGCCTCAAGAAAATGCATTCGGCACAGAAGTTTTTCTGTGCAGGATTTCTTGAACATTGCAGTCTTTTCTTTTCTGCAAAACTCTCTTAATGTGAGATTGAAATGCCACAGCCACAGCATTTCAATCAGGGTTTAGACTTTAAGTGGGTCAGTAGTACCTTGGTTCTTTTCATTTTCAACTTTTCCTTTTAGTGATGGTGAAGTGATGGTTTTGGAGAGATTACTCTCTGGTTCATTGGTTGGTTAAATCTGGTAACAAGGGCGTAAATCCCATCTCATTATCGGGGGTGGGGGGTGGGGGGGACCATAAACAGGGAAATTTTTTAAGAGTAATTTTGGGGGGGCAGGGGGAGGGCTGGAAAGTTATAGTAAAATGTGGTTTAATTAGCAATGAATAACAAAAGTGTTTAGACCCGTAGAAGTCAAACTAAGATTCAAATGTTGCTTAGATATGAGTTTGGTTCAGAGTCACAGATCTAATCTCTGCTACACCTTAAGGCTCTAAATAAAAACAAGTTTTAATGAGTAACCCCACTTAATAAAATTCTTCATAAATATTGATTTATGGCAGTGGTTCTCAATACAAATCACGTTATTAAATTATAACTTAAGTTGCTTTAAACTTTTGTTTTATTTTGTTGTTGTTGGTTTTTTTTGGGGGGGGGTGGACTCATGTTAAAACCTATAAATATGTAGGAATTGAATATTTGGGAAGTATCATAACTTAAACTTAAAGGTCAGCACCAGATTTTTCTAGAAAAATATTCAGATTTTATTTTGTGGTATTAAAGGCTCTACGTTGAAGGCATACTTTATTTTATTTTTTTTACTGTCAGCTGCAATAGTTCCCCTGCTCTAGTGCTAACGCTCAGTCCCTCCCTCCTGTTTCAAATTCTTCTTATTAAAGTAAGAGTTAAGAGCTAAATATAATTGAAATATTGGCTACCTTCGACAGAAAAAGGAGCTAAGTCTA